GGGGGGGGGGTATAAACCCCCCTGGAAAATTAGGGGCGCTAATAGAGAGGAGAGAAAAGCTTCTAAATTGTTTAAGAATGGATCGAAAAAAGCGGGCGGGGATATATCTCCGCGAGAAAGCAAGGAACATTATTATTTTTTTGTTCCTAATCAATACTTCATCCTCGGAAATACCCCTTCCCCTTTATTTTTTATTTATTTGTTAAATTGCTGATTTTATACCATTTGACTCTATAATCCGTTTCCTCGTACAAAAAATTTGAATTTTAATACCTTCAAAAATACAATGAACTGCTGGATTAGTTTCTTCATTAAACCCTGCGGCCGCCAATACATCGCTAAACATTAAATATATAATTATATTATATTGTCAATAATTTTCAAAGATATTCGGGTTCAGTATAGTCATTGGTCAAGTTTTTTTGGTTTATGGTCATTGGTCAAGTTTTTTGGTTTAGTATGGTCATTGGTAAATTTTTTTTTGGTTTTGTTTGGTCATTGGTCAAGTTTTTTGGTTTAGTATGGTCATTGGTCAAGTTTTTTTTGGTTTAGTATGGTCATTGGTCAAGTTTTTTTTGGTTTAGTATGGTCATTGGTCAAGTTTTTTTGGTTTAGTATGGTCATTGGTCAAGTTTTTTGGTTTAGTATGGTCATTGGTCAAGTTTTTTGGTTTAGAATGGTCATTGGTCAAGTTTTTTTTGGTTTAGTATGGTCATTGGTCAAGTTTTTTGGTTTAGTATGGTCATTGGTCAAGTTTTTTTGGTTTAGTATGGTCATTGGTAAATTTTTTTTGGATTAGTATGGTCATTGGTCAAGTTTTTTGGTTTAGTATGGTCATTGGTCAAGTTTTTTGGTTTAGTATGATCATTGGTCAAGTTTTTTGGTTTAGTATGGTCATTGGTCAAGTTTTTTGGTTTAGTTTGGTCATTGGTAACGTTTATTTTGGTTTAGTATGGTCATTGGTAAAGTTTTTTTGGTTTATGGTCATTGGTCAAGTTTATTTTTTTAGGGACTGTCGTTATAGTTTTAAATGACCCTCTAATCTTTACTATGTAAGGTGAAGTCATGTTTTCTAACTTGAAAAATCGGTTATTTTCTCCAATGATTCAAAGCAAGAAATGTTCAAGTCACTCTAGCAGAGAACGCAAAATTAGTATGAAATTGTTGCTTTTCATCTTTTAAAATCATTACGTTCGTCTAACTGTCGTCGTACTATTTCTGCAGAAAAAATATCGGATCATAGAAAAGAACATTAGGGTTTTTATATTTTTTTCAAGCCAAATACCATTAAAATATATATTTTTTTAAACAATAACAAAAACAAGTGACCTAAGCCTTGCTCCCGCCCATTCTGCATTTCCTACAGCTCCCCCCTTCCAGTCCAGCCCTTTCAACTCCTTTCTAGCTCTCATCTCAGCTCTCCTGTTCCCAGCACACTATATTACACAAGGTAATCATTTGGAATGGTACTTTTATCTATTTATTTATAAACTACAGTGGTAGGCGATTATATCAATACAAGACGACTTGTATATTTAATTTTTGATTGTTAACAAGCTTTTTTCGAATAACAAGTTTACAAGTAAGAAAAAGAGAGGCTTTTATTATGAACACATTCTCCTGAATTCTGTGTTTATGTGTATCTACTATCTATGCTGTTTAACAGCTTAATATAAATCAAAATTTAAATCAAAGTCGTCTTCATTGTATTGATATAATCGCCTACCACTGTAGTAAAATCTGCAATTAAAAACGGGTCAATTTTGGTCAGGCAAATTTCGTTTAAAACTAATCCTTTCTCTAAAGTTTCTTTTCTATTAGACCTTTAAGGAACTGTAAACGAAATTTCAAGTGACCTTCCATGCAAAGATGGCACTGTTCGAGTCATAACGGTACCCTACCCTTCAAAACTTTGTCAGGTCAGTGATCAAGTATGAATTAGATATCAATTTTATGTTTAATATTTGAAAATTGATTATTTACAATTGTTGGATCTCTACAAATGTGACTTGCGCACTTGTATTGCAGGAAAACATATAGGAATTATTAGAATCAAATACGCTCTTCGTCATAGTACATCTTGTGTAATGAAGTATTCTCTTTAGAAGGCTAAAACTTTTCTCTCCTTGTATTAACAGTGAATTCAGATAAATCCTTAGTCTTTGTCATTGTCAGGTGTGTATATATCCATGTATATGCAATCTGTATATATGTATTTTATATCTGAAATTGTATTTTTATCTTTATCTTATGTATAGTAATAACATTTTGTATTTTGTATATCTATATATGCATAGGATGTATTGTGTGTATTGTATGTATTGTATGTATTGTATATATCTATATTTATGAACCAAGGTTTGCAAGACTAAAATGCATCAATTATTATTATAAATTATCATTATCCTGACCAGTTTAATCTTAATTGTCCGCAATATTATCTTTATCAATGATTTTAAACATTATGAAATATAAAAGTTTCTATTTTCAAAATATTGATTTGTAATAAAACTTTAACCTTGAATATTTGTTAAAACTACTTAAGGAGTTTCGTTCTCTTAACTTCAACATTTTCTTTTTAACTAGAAAAACGACAATGTGTTCCACGTTATTGATCAGATAACGGTTTAAGGGAACCGTTGTGAATCTGACATTGCCGTTTTGGCATGGTGTGTCATTTGAGATTAGACTAACAGTAACTTTATGTCAAAATATTAATAATTAATTTAGTAGAAGCAAATACGCTGCAGTAGCAGAAGATTGATTGTAGCTTCTATTTTGATTCCACTTTAATTCTGGAGATCACTACAGCTCCGTTATAAATAATTATCTAATTCTAGACCTGAATGCATGTGATGATCTTGTGCTTTGGGAACTTCTTCAAGTCCTCCAGGGTTAATGTTAGATCCTTCAATCCTAAACCGGATATTTCCAGTTCATAATTCTAAACCATACCAAACCAAAATTGATGTAAAACCGGATATTTCCCGTTCATAATTATCCAAACGTAGTTGTATACAGTACTTTTTGGTTGGTTTTTCATATGAAATAAAGACGAAAATTTTTGGTTGGTCTCACAACAACATCAAGTTGCAACATTAAAAATGCCCAATATCTAGAAAAAAAAACTTTTCTTCAAAGAAATATTTTTCATGATTCCATCAAATGTTCACAGTTAGTTTTGAACGAAACAAAAATCAATATTTTTTTCTTTAACTCGTGCATATAATTTGATAAAAATTTAATCTTTGTTTCATGGTTCCTTAGGATCGACATCAGGAACGGGTAGATGGTTCCGGACGTAGAAGAGTTCCGTTGGAGTTATAAAACTGAAATATTTAAAAGTTTTAACATAAATGTAGGAATAATCAAAATCACAAGGGTAAAAATATAGAACAGTTCATAAAAAAAAAACAGTTTAAACCGAGGCTCTGGCATCAACTAAGTTCTTATAAAGAGGCTCCATACGTGCATATACATTCGGAATCTTAATATAATAAATACAAAACTCAAAAACCTTTTTTTAAAGAAAAGTATGAGCATAATTTGTGAGTTCTACCTGTCCGTAAGAATAGAAAGAGGAGTCTCTGCGTTGAACGGCGTGCTGGCGTTTACAATAAGAACCTTGAGACGGGCTGGGTCATTCCCGTAGGGATCAGTCGAGTCCTTCATCTGGGTAAAATTATAATCTATAAGACAAAGCTGCGGTGTGCGTCTTTTGTATGTATGTATTTTGTACGTCCTAAATTTTCGTCTTTTGTATGTATGTATTTTGTACATCCTAAATTTGCATCTTTTGTATGTATGTATTTTGTAAGTCCTAAATTTGCATCTTTTATACGTCCTAATTTTGCGTCTTTTGTATGATGTATTTTGTACGATCTAAATTTGCGTCTTTTGTATGTATGTATTTTGTACGTCCTAATTTTGCGTCTTTTGTATGATGTATTTTGTACGATCTAAATTTGCGTCTTTTGTATGTTTGTATGTATCTTGTACGTCCTAAATTTTGCACAAAAGATGTTTTCAATAGTGAGTTCACAACCTTAATATGCGTGCTCAATACTCATTGTGCTTCTTATATTAATACTCCATACTTAATATTTTTTAATCTATATATAAATTTGGCTTGTCTGTCTGGGTGTCTTGGTGTCTGTTTGTTTGTTTGTATCCAATAAACGTCAAAACGGCTGAACCGATCCCGTGACCACAGGGAAGGTTTACGAATGATAAAAATTTAAAAAAATGTGTTTTAAAGGTTTTTAATTTTGTAAAAAAAATTTTATTTCTTGAAAATCCGAGATTTTTTTTTTAATCCGCGAAATTTTTTTTATTTCTGTTTTAAAATGTAAATTAAAAGAACATGTTCACAATTTACATAGAAGATGGGCACGAAGCGCCCTAAAATCCTAGTATCTTAAAAATTAACATACAATTTGTTTAATGGATGTGTTCATACAAATTAGAAAATAAAAAATAAAGATTTAGATCTGACTTAAATCACTTTAATCCAAATTATTGTTTAATTAATTTGTTTATAAATGACGAAAAGGAAAAGTTTACGAAAACCTTAAAAATATCTACATCAAAAGTATTTCATTACAAGATCAGTTTCCTGCCAAATGGTTAAACGATATAGAAAGAAAGATTTGGTAAAGGATTCGGATCCAGTTCCACGTTAAATTAAACAGAATCGGTTTCGCATCATGAATCCGGGATCCGGTTCACCCCGAAATGAATTAAAAAATGTAGCTTGTCTCGAACCTGTTTCCGATGGTGTTCTACATCATCCTGGTCGAGGTTACCAATTCTATATTCCTCCAATAGTTCCATCACAACCTGAATTGGGAGTTTTAGACTGGAATGTTCGATTCAGAACTGCACCCTTTAAAGCTTTATCTATGTAACAATGGGTAAGATTTCGTCATTTTAAAATTTTGATAATTTTCTTTATCATCTTTTCCCCGTCCCTGGAGGATAAATTCACTTTAAGAGAGAAACCACAATAAAAAAAAACAATTTTCAGATTTAAAAATAAAGATATTTCCTAATTATATGATCATGCAGAGGTCTTTAAAGAATACCGTGAATGGGACATGCCACTCTAATATATGGAAGGTCACTTAAACTTTCCTCTCTACAGTCTATTGTTTCTTTAATTAAAAATCATACAAGTTTAAAGTGGGCATTACTAAACGTGGGTGTTACTAAACGTGGGTGTTACTAAACGTGGGTGTTACTAAGCGAATAAATTGTAAAAATCCATTTCTAAAACCTTAAACAATTAAACGCAACATAGAAAACTAGAAAGTCTAAATTCAAGAATCGACGGACGAAGAGCTCTGAAACCGATTTCTAGTTTATACATTTAGCAATAAAAAAAAAATTACAAAGTGTCAAAACTAGCTAAATTATAAGTGTCATAACGCTGCAGCTATGGCGGGTTGCAGTCACAGACCTAATTTAAAAAATTGAAAAAAATTCATTTTTATATTTCATTTTTAAAACATTTGTGGATTTATCAATTCAACAATTTATCCAAAGTCTAGCATAAAACTAGGAGAATAAAGATTATCAATTACAAAAAAAATGAAAATTGTATTTCAGGTTTAAAGTTTTAAAAATCTAAAACCTTATTATTAAGATGGACAGCGTACATGGCCCAAAAAGGTTCAACACTTCCTCCTGAACAAAAACAAAAATGTGCATCTTTAAATCTGTATCTGTATCTGTACCTGTATATGTACCTGTATATGTACCNTGTATCTGTATCTGTATCTGTATCTGTATCTGTATCTGTATCTGTATCTGTATCTGTATCTGTATCTGTATCTGTATCTGTATCTGTATCTGTATCTGTATCTGTATCTGTATCTGTATCTGTATCTGTATCTGTATCTGTATGTGTATCTGTATCTGTATCTGTATCTGTATCTGTATCTGTATCTGTATCTGTATCTGTATCTGTATCTGTATCTGTATCTGTACCTGCAGCCATCAGTAATTTCTCTGCTCCTGGATGAAGCGGGACAAAATCAGTGATATCATAAACTCCTTCCTTGTAGGTCACCCAAACCCTACACAACACAAGCTGTAATCTTTTTAAAACAATCAAATTATAATTTTATTAAATTTGGTAGATTTCCACTACATTATTTTAATTACTATTCTACGTACTCGGTCATTGTTTAGAGTTTTTCTATTACAGCCGAATTAACGAAAACAAAAATTTATGTTAAAGGTAGCTTAACCGTCAGTTCAAGTGATCATAATTGATCGACAGAGTGACAATCAAGTTCGATTAACGGAAGGGTATCCGTATGAATTAAATATCCGTGTTTTCTTTAAAACTAATTATTTTAATCAGATGTCTCTCAAATAAGTATCTTACGCATTTATTGCTTCAGAAACAACGAAGAAATAATTCTGATAACTTTTCAAGAAAAATTATTGATCAAATTTAAGTTTCGAGGGTACCCTTGTAAATCGGACAAACCTCTCTTTAAATAGAGTTTCACTTGAAAGTAAAAGACTGCCCCTTCACGGATACGATTTGTCAAAATACTGTTTACACAGAAAACCTAGTTTTCTTCCAAATTTCGTTGATTGTGACATATATATGACTGTCCAAACACAGGGTGTAATATAATTGATTGAAAAATACAATTTGTTTGCTACGCATTTAAACATAATATCTATCTAAAAATTACAAAAAATAAATATACTTTAAAAAGTATATCTTATCATTTTTTGGACCTTATTTTCGCAATCATAACTGGATTTTGCAAATTTGCTATTTTTTAGTAGAGCATAGGAAGGAGCTTTCTAAAGATGTATGTATCATTTGTCATATTTAGACATCAAACATGTGATTAAGAGGGGGGCGGGGGATAAACCCCCGGGTTTTTAAGTACCCCAGCTAATAAGTGAACAATCCTTTTATGATTTTGTTCAGGAAAATATACCTGTTTTCGATAGAATCATGTTTGGCGACCTCCTCCAGGGTGAACTCCTTCAAATCCTTCCTTCTCTGCCCAGCCCCTTGTTCAGGGGCTTCAACTGCTCCTTCAGCAATCAACCTTGTTCTCCTACCACAAAAAAAACTGTATAAAGGAGTGTCCATGAAATTTTAGAAGGGGTACAAATAAAAATCATAATCATAATAATGACCATAGTTGGAGTTTTATTTGATTTTTTAAAGAAAAAAAACAGCCAAAAAATTACGGTTTGTCGATTTCAAGGTGTAATTTTAGAAGGGGTACAGAAGGTGTAATGCTAAATGTAGAATTCTCCTGTAGGCATCCCTCAATACATTAGATTATCTCCAAGCTAACGCCAGAACACGGACAGAATACTCATTGAAGTCTTTTTACTACCTATATAATTTCTAAAAATTCAATATTTTAAAATTTTCTGTTTATTCCCAAACAGGCCCGTAACCAGGATTTTTCTAGGGGGGGTGCAACGAAGCGCGCCGCGGGCGAAATTTTTTTTATAAAAACAATTCTTGGTTTGTTTTTACGGTGGTATATGGTTTTTTTTATTAAATTGTCAATGTACGCTTTAAAGACTAACAGCTTTTTAACAAGTGTATTTAAGCTTTTAAGGGTTACATTTTAGTGTCTGAAACTTTTCAGTTTACATATACAGTATACATAAAAAATAAATGAATGGTACTTTAGCTTAAGGAAAAAATTCATTATTTAAAATCAAGACTTCTTGTCCCTCGGCCTCATCATGATATTATGAAGATGAATAAAAAATAAAATTTCTAATATTTTGTTTAAAAGAGTTTATTTATTGACATTGAGACATTGATACATTCTTAGTGAATTTTTGAGTACTCAAAAAAACCCTTCTACTTTGACTAAAAATGACAAATATCCTCGCTTAAAATAATGTTTTTGAAACTCTTAAAAATGGCTATTATATTCCAAAATAAATGGATGAATTTTTTCCTTTTAACCAACTGTTGAAACTTTAAAGGATGTTTTACTTTGTATAAGTTCTTGATTTCAGAGACACACACACCCACTTTTAACTCAATAAGATTATAATTTGGTTTGGGAAGGGAATCAACTCTTGCTTGAGCTACAGGGTGTCCCACGAAACATGACAATAGCAAGACGATTTGAAAGTCGTCTTTGATATTTGAATTTATTTTTGACATTTAGTCTTCTATCTACTTTAACATGTATGATTCTTGAAACAATGATCACATAATTCTCCTAGCCCTGGCATTTCCAAAAAGTGGTCTGCGTTTTTTGTGCTTTCAATATTATAAGAAGAACTATAAGAAAAGAAATCTGAAAAAGAGGTCCCGTTATGAACCCCCCAGACCGCCGGCAGGCATGGGAAGCACCGTCCCACACCTACTCTAACTGGACCTTTATACCCACAACAATTAACCCATCGTCAGAAGATAAAAAGGTGATACTATCCAGCCAATGGCTCATCAACTAACTCCATTGGAAGGTTGGTATCAAACAACCCTTTAGGCGAAGAAAAAGAGGTTACCAGAATTAAGCTGTTCCTGCCAAATCCATCCACCGCTCCAGCAGTAAGTTTATCTTTTCAGTCCTTTTCAGCAGCACTTCCTTTGAGACATTATCTCCCCCTAATATCCCAGTAAGGATTGTCGTGCTGCTCCGTGGCCTCCCTGACATAAGGGCTCCCAGCCCTGTTTTAGACCTCTCATAGGCTACTGCTTGACAGGATACAACAACGTGATGCTCCGAAAGGTGGTTAACTATCCCTTTACTTAGGCATAGCGGACACCATTTAGTGGCGAAGCCATGGATGTTTGGGCGTCGGTTTCCAAGCCCTGCATCCCCGGCTCTCAGTCTGTTCAATACGCCCCCTACCTTGCTATCACATACATGTGGCTGGAGTTTGAACCAGACTTGAGGGGTTGGCATACAGTTGAGGGACACAAACTGTCTTTTCTGCTCCAGGACCCCTTTAATTGACGTTATGGTAAGTCTCTTCTTCAACCTAGATTTAGGACCTTCAAGCACATCCAGTCCCAACTCAGCAACCAGCTCCCCAACCATTCTCGCCCACGGGTCGTCACGTGCTCCGATCACCGCGTCGAATGTATCGGACAGAATAGGATCTCGTTTTTTATGCATGATTACCCACACATACAAAGCTACTTGCTCCCTTATCCTGTCTCGCATTGGTTTAAGCCCCGCATCCATGTACCCAGCTACTTTGGATGACGAACTTGGTAATTGTAGGATGAACCGCACAACCTGGTGCTGGATGCTGTCTAGCTTTCTAGTGACACTGTCAGATATCACCATGGATTCCACCGCATACAGTATAGCTGGTATAGCACATCTCTCCCATAGGGTATGGGCTACGAGAGACCGATCTAGTCCAGATCGTGTAAATCCCATGATGGTATTAGCGTAATTTTGCGCGACACATACCATACGCTCCTCTCTTGGCTTAACAAGGTTCCTGCCTTTGACCTGTAATTCCACTCCTAGATATTTACCAACCAGGTTTGATTCTAGGTTTGGCGTACCCGGTTCTATTTTCCAAGACTGCCCCTGTGCTCCATTTGAGAGTATTATTGTTTTCTCTACAGAGAGTTTCATATATTCCCTGTGGCAGAACCGTGAGACCTCCCTTAGCATACGTTCCATCCCTCTCACTTTCGTCCGTGAGATAAGAACGAGGTCATCTGCAAAGAACAATGCAGAGATCACTTGGCCGTTGAAGTTAATTCCTTCCTTCATGGCATGGAGTTTCCCTCCAAGCCCAGCCATGTACAATGAAAACAGAAGAGGTGAAAGCCCACACCCCTGTTTTACGCCTTTCGTGAACCATAAAGGTGCCGTCAGACCTCCTTTTATTCTGACTCTAACACTATCATTGTAATACATGGACTGTATTAGAGACTTGACCTTTCCTCCAAAGCCAATGGTGTCCAACTTTGCATATAATAGTTCACGGTTCACTGAGTTGTAGGCTTTAGCAGTGTCGCAGAATGCTATAGACATTGAATGACCTTTCCTTTTTGCCTTTCTGACAGCTGCCAACAACATAAACACACAGTCTGTCGTTGAGCGCCCTGACCTAAAACCATACTGCACTGTGCCGTAATAACCATTCTTCTCGCATATTTTGTCCATTACCGGAGATATAAAGAGTTTGGTTCAGATTTCAATTTTGTTAAATAAAAGCAAACTTGTCGAAATCTGAACGAAATTCTTCATATCTCGGGCAATATTGAAAGCACAAAAAAGGCAGACCACATTTTGGAAATGGAAGGACTAGGGGAATTTTGTGATTATTATCTCTAGAAATTTACTTCTAAGATTAGGTTGACAAATAAACGCAGCAAATTATATAAAAAATCAAGACGACATTCAAGTCGTCCTGCATACTGTGATGTTTCGTGGGACACCCTGTATATTATCGGTAACTAGATTTTAGAAAATTATGAGAAACAATTTCTTTTATATGGGACGGGGGGGGGGGTGCAATTTCGTCATTGCACACCCCTTTCAGAAGAAAGGGGGTGCACCTGCATCCCCCCTGGCTACGGGCCTTTTCCCAAATATACCGATTTAAGATGGTAAAAAGGTAATTTAATAAAATCTTGAAAATTGACCTGAGGTTGTACGCAAGCCCCGACAGACCTAGTATCGCCCCCGCCGCCGCTGCGCCCCACTTTAACCCTTCACCACCTCTCTCCTTCCTTCCTCCATCCCAACTGTAACCGGCCAACGCCGGTAAAATCGGCCGCCGGAGACTTCGACTGAGAACAGAGAGTTTGTCACTTTTGAAACGTGTTAAAAGTTTCGAGGAAGCCATTTTTTGCCTGAAATGTAATTTATTAAAATGTTAATTATTTCGTATCAACACATAGTTTTCTGTCGACTACATACTATAATTTACTATATATAGCTATGCGCTGAAGCGGTAGCACAGTATTGTATTATTAACCGAGTGTTTCCAGCAGACTGGAGTGGAGTTAAAGCAGGAATTGATGGAAAAGTTGCGTGTACTGGTACTGGAGTATTCTTTGACCCCAAGTATACGCGTTTCACCCAACGAGGTTATAGTGTTTTATCACATATACAGTGAAGGAATTCAAAACAATTATTTGATTTTTAGAATAAATTATGCATAATATGTTTACAGTTTTTTGTGTGTGTAGAATTAAAAGTATTAATTGGATTGATGTGTGCGCGCGCGTAAGGACACAACGGATGTGCAGTGCGAGCGCTCTTGCCTAAAGCACTGATCATTTAAACACAAATATGCGGGGATCTGGTTGAGGTGAATCCATATACTAAAAAATAAGAATGACAATACAGAGTGTCCTTCGATAAACATGACAATTAAAATAAGATCAAGCGACTAAAACTTTAATATATTTTTTTATTTCTTGCAATTCGATCATCGAATACAGCTGAAATCTCCATATACAGGGTTACCCACAAAGGTTAAGACTGTTGAAACAATCTGAAACTCTTGTGACGATTCCAATATTTTTGCCTCGACTATAAACATTTTATGTACAGGGTGTCCCAATAAACATGGGAATTCAGTGACGAATTCAATATCCCGGCCATATTTTTTGGGACACCCTGTATTACTAGCTGAAAGGCCTGTCGTTTCCCGTGGAAAAAATATAAATAAATTTGTAGAAATTACGGTATAAATACTGGACTTGGAGGGCCCGGCGTTGCCCGTGGAGAAAAAATATTTGATAAAAAAATAAACTAAAAAAAATAAAATTTTGTTTTAAATGTTGGAAAAAAAAATTTCGAATTTTTTATTGTCTATAACACCCCCCGACCACACCTGAGAGCTTGGCCGGCTGTAGGCAACATATTTATACAGGGTGTCCCAAAAAACATGGGAATTAAGTGCCGAATTGGATATCATCTTTGTTATGAATTAGCATTGTAATACCGAATTTCAAAAGCCATAATATTATTATGTCTGCTAGAGTTTATTTTATGAAAAGGGTAAAAGACTTTAAAGATGTGTCTAAAATGTCTCCGCAAGATGAACAGTGAAGACGGACAAGTTTACTCTGTTTGTATACTGCAATTTTCTTGTTTTACTAAGTACAACCGTATGCACTCAAAACATAAACAAATAAGAACATACAGGGTGTCCCACGAAACATGACAGTATGCAAGACGACTTGAATATCGTCTTGATTTTTTACATAATTTGCTGCGTTATTTTGTCAACCTAATTTTAGAAGTAAATTTCTAGGGATAATAGTCACAAAATTCCCCTAGTCCTGCCATTTCCAAAATGTGGTCTGCCTTTTTTGTGCTTTCAATATTGCCCGAGATATGAAGAATTTCGTTCAGATTTCGACAATTTTGCTTTTATTTAACAAAATTGAAATCTGAACCAAACTCTTTATATCTCCGGTAATATTGAAAGCACAAAAAACGCAGACCACTTTTTGGAAATGCCAGGGCTAGGAGAATTATGTGATAATTGTTTCAAGAATCATACATGTTAAAGTAGATAGAAGACTAAATGTCACAAATAAATTCAAATATAAAAGACGACTTTCAAGCCGTCTTGCTATTGTCATGTTTCGTGGGACACCCTGTAGCAGACGGAACTCTTACAGAATACAGCTTTCTCAGTAGGTATTACTATACTAAATCAAAGAATTATTTAAAAAGACGATATCGAATTCGTCACTAAATTCCCATGTTTATTGGGACACCCTGTATATACGAATGTCTTGTTCTATTATATAGATTAAATGATTTAAAAAAAGAACGAAACAAGGTTGAAGTTGCGGGAACACGAAAACTATGAATATATGGGAAACTGACCGTATACAGTTCGTACAGCCGTCTCATCTTTTGTGGGTTACTCTGTTTTTGTTTAGGAAATAAGTGTACTGCATGGCTTTTGTTTGTTGACATTCACCCAAGGAGTATGAAAATAAGGGAGAAGGAATCGACCCGGCCAGCCCTACCATATGATTATACATGCTTTGCAGACGGTACTCCATTTAAAAAAAGTTTTTTAAAGGTCGTCTTTTAATTTTGTTTCATTTGGTTTTTACTATATATCAAATAAATCCGATTTTTTTATTATAAAAAATGTGTTGCCAATATTTTTGCGTTATTCAGCCTAATTTTCCCCTGTTTAATGTATACAATAAACTATTCTGAATACATTGAAATATCACAAAGTCTAATGATTATTCAATTACTGACTCATTATACTAAATCCATCTTAAAATCACTCATTGATCAATAATCATTAGACTTTGCGTTATTTCAAGATGATGCAATACTCAGTCAAATTTGTCAAAAATTTCGTTGTAAAACAGTTTAAGAATTCAGCACACTAAATATTAATCTTAAGTAGAATTGAAAAAATGGTTAGAGTTGTGCATTTTTATAATGAATATAGTTGATTTTTCATAATATGTTTTAATTGTTATGATCTGAGAGTTACTTATAAAACCATTTATTCCTGTTTCGAGGATTTTTGGTAATGAAGACGACATTTTAATATTTTCCAGGAATGTTCGAAAACAAGTTGTAAGCTAAATATTATTTCAAAAAATAAAATCAAAACATATTATGAAAAGTCAACTATATAAAAATGTGGCGAAAGATAATCGATGACTATAGATTGTAATATCTGAATGATTTGTTTGAAATTAAATAGATTTTTTACGGTCTAAATCGTATGTTACATCTTTCTGAATTTGTATGGACACTACGTTCTTCGGTATTTGTCGTTTTCAACAATTTTCTCCTTATAGACGCAACAGATAGAAGTAAGATTTGTAGCGCTCAAAAGCGCTTTTTTATCGCATTAAGCCTATACCCCCTTTCATTTTTAGCGAACACTCCCTTTAACTAATTTTTTTAGGTATGGTTATAACCAGAAATCTGCGGAATATGAAGACGACATTTAAATAATAATTAAGAGAATTTGATGTGGTTACAAACAAATAGCTTTTAGCAGTAGCTTAAAAAGTAACTTATTTACTGAAATGGGTATTTTTGGTTTGCACAATTGCTGTGTCTCAAGTTCATTGGACTATTTAAAGTCATAATTTGAGTCTTACAGTCGTCTTCTTATTCCAGAATTTTCTAGATCTTATTGTAATAAAAACTAGAGACTTAGGTAGCAGATCAAAAAGTGATAGATAGACATTCATACTGTAGGACAAAAGATATGTTGCTGAGATATTATAACTGCATTCCGTACATGACATTTAAACTAAAGCAAATTGCAAGTGAGAAAGAAAATTTATATGTTTTGCAATCATACTATCCTCTTATTGTTTTAAATTTCTAAAATGTGAACGGAAAAATTTGCTTATCCTCTAAACTCAAAATCAAAACTAGTGGAGCAACGAGGTCACAAAGTCGTCAAGTTTTATAAAAAAGCATTTTTTTTTCTTATCAACTCTTAATCCTTTTAATATAATAATTTTGTTTGTTTATTTCTCCTAAATATAATGCTTAGTTAATTGTGTATATTCCGTGCATGTACAAACACGATACAGTTCATGTACTGTTCCTTTACTAGGTACTTTTCTTCATGAACGTGCATTCCTTGCTAGTTTTTATATAATTTCCTTTGTCTAGTTCGAACTTATAAAACGAAAATTTAATGTTGTGAATAAATTATATTTTATTCTAAATATCAATGTCAATGTCAGGTTTAACTATAAGAAATAGGAAACAGGGCTTAATTTTCAAGAATTTTAACAACCTAGATGACTTCTTTTTTTTTGGGGGGGGGGAAACAATTTCCCACCCACCACAAAAAGGTTATCAAAGTTTAAATACGGCAAAAATATTATTATTATTGTATCTCATTATTCGGAAATGTTTCTATTTTTCTTAGATTTTAAAAAACTTTTAATTGATTCACATAAGCAAAAATCTAGCTTTGCGAAAATAATTTGTGGGCCGTAAAGGTTTAAAAGTGTGATTATGTGAAGTACACTTGTAGTACACTTAAACACTTGCAGTACACTTGAAGTACACGTGCAGTACACTTGCATTACACTTGGAGTCGGTATTAACCATTTTTAAAGTTTATTCCTCTTCCTTAATTTTCCTTCGTGGTTAGAATCAACCTGTAACTATGACTGTTGACTGCCAGGCTTGCAGAGCCCTTGTGTAGATTTATAGTTTAAATTCTACTGGAGCATTGTAGACATGAAGATAGTTTGAAGGATTTCCGGTAGTTTCTTAGTATCCAGGCATACAAACCCTAGATCAAGATCAAGATCAAGATCAAGATCAAGATCAAGATCAAGATCAAGATCAAGATCAAAATTAAGATCAAGATCAAGATCAATTACAACATACATTACAAAGTGGATCAACTTAAAAACTTTTTAATTATATTCTTCAGTTATACTTAATCTACAAATTTTTCTTTTTTTTTCTCTGAAATATTTATTTACAAATGAATTTACCTTTCCCCTGTGGTAAACGTTTAGTCAAGTCATCTGCTTGATTACCAAGGCTACCGATAAATATCGCATAGGCGTTCACATTCTCATTTCTAAGAAACAGGAGAATAGAAGAGAGGAAAGAGGAGAATAAAAGAGTAGAAACAAGAGAATAAAGGAGAGAAACCAGGAAAATAGAAGAGCGGAAACAGGAGATTAGAAGAGAGGAAACAAGAGAATAGAAAAGAGGAGACAGGAGAATAGAAGAGTTGAAAAAGGAGAATAGAAAAAAGGAAACAGAAGTGTAAAAGAAAAAAACAGAAGTAAAAGAAAGAGAACAGGAGAATAGAAGAGTGAAAACAAGAGGATAGAAGAAAGGAAACAGGAGAATGATAATGATAATTATAATAAAAATAATAATTTACTATTCTATTATCAGCTGTTTCCCTGTTAAGTATTTTAGCAAAGTTTTCTGGTCGGATCCCGTATCTATCGAAGTTAGCATCAGATAGAACAATAACAAAGCTTTCATCATGTTGTTCAGTCACTAGACCCAGCTCATTAATCGCTAGAACTGTAGCTGATAGCGTATGATCTCCTAAACACATAAACTTTCTATAATGTGGTAGGGACGGGGGCACAATTCTAAACACCTGCTTCATATGTCTCGTATGATTTCCTAAAAATATCAACATCTCATGGGGGAGGGGGAGGGGGGGCTGCATACAGAGTTG